CCCCCCCCCCCCCCCCCCCCCCCCCCCCCCCCCACAAACACCCCCCCAAGAAACCCCCCCCCTCCCCCCCGTGGGGCGTGGCCCCCCCCCCCCCCACTTTGCCCAGAGGCTCCCCGTCCAGCCCCGCATCCACCTGGGACCCTCCTGGCACCGAGGGGGGACTCGGGGCTACCGTCCTCCTGGCGGCCCGAGGGAGAGCAGGAGCCCCGCCTGCCCGGAGCGGGGCCGAGGAGCAGCCTTGCCGGACAGCGAGAATCCGCACAGCCGCCCCAAAATGCCGCAACTTGGAAAAAGGGCAACAAAAAGTCCCCGAAATTCACCTCCCATACAGGGGTGGAGAGGGAGAACGAGAGGAGCTTCCCAGAGAGGCCCCACGGAGGCTTCTGCCCGCCTTTTCCGGCTTCGTTTCCTTCCTAGGAGGGGGGGAGACGCTCTAGCCCCTCCTTCCTCTCCTTCCCCCGGGAGCTTCTGCAGTTTCGGGGTCCGGATAGCGCCGCTTCTCACCCTCGGAGGGCGCTGGGCGAGAGGCGCCTCTTTCCCGGCCGGGCGGAGAGGCGAAGGCGAGTCTTTTGAAGGGGGAGGATAAGCCTTTCGCAAGAGGGGCAAGGACTCCAGCAACTGTCATCCCCAGCCGTCTTAGCCGGCCGGGGATGATGGGTGAGGCTGTATCCCAGAGCTGGGGTCAGCAGGAGGGAGTTTGGCGTCTCTTTCCAAGCTGCCGCCTTCCTAGTTTGGGGCGGGTTCCCACGACCGCTGAACCCAACCCGGGTCGGGTCGACGACCCCTCTCCCCCTGTCCCGTTTGCACTTCGGAAGGGCCGAATTGGTGGGCAATGCAGGAGTTTGTATCCAAGTTTGGTCTGGGATTTTTTTTTTTTTTTTTGGTGGGGGGCGGCTGTTAAACTTTTCTTGGGGTGAGGGTTAAGGAAGTGGCCTCTGGGTTGGATCCTTGGGTCATCGGGATCTGTGGTTGGTACCAAAGGTTTGCAGAAGAGTTGCAACCCATCCACCCACCCCCAGGAACAGAGGTAGTCCTCGATTTACGACAGTTTGTTCAGTGACCGTTCAAAGCCACTGGAAAAAGTGACTTACGGCCTTTTTTTCATGACCCACCCACCCCCTGCGGCATTTCCCCAGAGTCACGGGATCCAAATTCCGATGCCAGGCAACCGACTCGTCTTGATGACGGTTTGCAGTGTCCCCAGGGGTCATGGGATCATCAGCATTTGCCACCTTCCGACGAGCAAAGTCGGTGGGGAGAAACGAGATTCACTGAACGGCTTTGGTTTACTAACTTAAGAATAGCAGCGATTCCCTTGAACAACGGCAGCAGGCAAAGTTGTAAAAACGGGGCGACGCTCGTTTTAACGAATGCCTCGCTCAACAACAGGCATTTGGGGGGCTCAGTTGTGGTTGTAAGTCAAGGACCACCTGTATTGCTTTTTGAACAGTAGTTAAGGATGGCAGTTGTAGCACTTCCTCCTTCCATTTGCCCCCCTGACATACACACACACACAAAAGTTAGTTTGGGCTGAGAGAGAGGAAAAAAAGAGAAAATGTAAGAAAGAGAGAGAGAAAGAGAGAAAAAGAAGGAGAGAGAGAGAGAAAGAAGAAAAGAAAGAGAGAAAGAGAAAAAGGAAAGAGAGAAAGAGAAAGAAGAAAAGAAAGAGAGAGAAAGAAAAAGAAGGAAAGAGAGAGAAAAAGTAAGAATAGAGAGAGAGAAAGAAGGAAAGAGAGAAAGAAAAAGTAAGAGAGAGAAAGGAGAGAGAGAGAAAAAGAAGGAAAGGAAGAGAGAAAGAAAAAGGAAAGAAAGGGAGAAAAAGAAAAAGTAAGAAAAGAGAGAAAGAAGGAAAGAGAGAAAGAGAGAAAAAGTAAGAAAGAGAGAGAGAAAGGAGAGAGAGTAAAAGAAGGAAAGAAAGAGAAAAAGAAGGAAAGAAAGAAAGAGAAAAAGAAGGAGAGAGAAAGAAGGAAAGAGAAAGAAAAAGAAGGAAAGAAAGAGAGAGAAAGAAAAAGTAAAAAAGAAAGAGAGAAAGAAGGAAAGAGAAAAAGTAAGAGAGAGAGAAAGGAGAGAGAGAAAAAGAAGGAAAGAGAAAAAGGAAAGAAAGAGAAAAGGAAGGAAAGAGAGAGAGAGAGGAAAAAAAGTAAGAGAGAGAAAGAAGGAAAGAAAGGGAGAAGGAAAGAGAGAAGGAAAAAGAAGGAAGAAAGAGAGAGAAAGAAAGAGAGAAAAAGAAGGAAAAAAGAGAGAAAAAGAAAGAGGTTAGTTCTGAGTTCCCTAGGCAGCTTCCACCCTTGAAGAACCTGGCAGCTGGGTTTCTAACAGTGTTTTTCAACCTTGGGAAATTTAAGCTATGTGGACTCCTCCCAGAAATCACTACCCATCGTGCTTGTCCATGGTGCCCATATTCTCATCTCTAAGGATACATTCCCCTGACCCTTGACAGGTTAGCTTTTTATATGCAAGGATTTGTTTGCTTTTGGGACAGAGGACCGATCTGCCTGGGCACTCAGAAAATATTGAATATAGGGACTCTTGCTGGAACAGGGAAGGTTGGATTAGAAGACCTCCCAAATCCCTTCCAACTCCGATGATGAAATGATGATCAAAAGCTAACTGTTGGATTGTTCCGTTTCTCCCATCTTCTCTGTCCCGTAGGAAAAACATCAACCTTTTTTGGGGGGGGAAAAAAATCCCAATTACTTCTCTGACCAACGAGCCAGTTTTGGGGAAAAGAAAAAAAGTTTCCTGGGACAAATCCACAGATTGACCTGTGTTTGCAAGCTTCCCCTTTCTGCATTTAGGAGAAGAGAAAGAAGGGAGAAGGTGATGGCAGCACTGAACGCCTTGAGTGAGGTCCAGGCAAAACACGTGTGGGGATTTTCCCCCAAGAAACTGGGAAGGGAGATGCTACAGATGGACGCAGAGTTACCCCAACATTGGCAAGACTTGATCTCAACAACCGCAGGCTCTCGGCACCCCAGCTGGGGGGGCAGCCAGAGCCCAGAGGAGCCCACCCCGTGGGACGACCCCAAGGGTTTCCTGGCCTCCTTCGAACAAGTAGCTGAGGCCTGTCGGTGGCCCCGGAAAGAGTGGGTCGCCCGGCTTCTGCCTGCCCTCCGCGGAGAAGCCGAACAAGCTTTCGGTAACCTGGGGGCTCGAGACCGGCAGGATTACGGGAAGGTGAAAGCCGCCATCTTGCACCGGGACGCCCTGAGCCGGGAGAAACGAAGGCAGCACTTCCGCCGTTTCCGCTACCAGGAGGCTGAGGGGCCGCGCGGGGTTTACAACCGGCTCCAGGCGCTGTGCCGTCAGTGGCTGAAGGTGGAGAGGCACTCCAAGGAGCAGATCCTGGAGCTGCTGATCCTGGAGCAGTTCCTGACCGTCCTGCCTCCGGAGATCCAGAGCTGGGTGCGGGAGAGAGGCCCTGCGTGCTGCGCCCACGCGGTGGCCCTGGCCGAGGATTTCCTCTGGATGCAACGAGAGTCTTTGAGATGGGAACAACAGGTAAGGCCCTGTGTGTGTGTGTGTGTTTTTATACCAGAGGCTTGCAGCCTCCCCGACCTCCAGCAGCACTCTGCTGGCTGAATAACAGGCCACATGGGGCCCGTTTTGGCTCGCAAAATGCTGCAGTGAGGCCATCTAGGCCGAAAACGTTTTGGCCAGCAGGGTGCTGTAGAAGGCATTTGTCCCATCTCCACCCTGCTCCCCCACCCCTCGGGCGACCCTTTTTGGGCCGGCGGAGTGCTTCTGGAGGCCGGGGAGGACTGTGGAAAGAAAGAAGGGAAAAAGTACATCTTGTGCCTGTGTCAAATGCCCACCATGCCCCTCCCACCCGCCTGGCCCTCTGAGGTCAAACATAACCCTGATGTGGCCTTCAATGAAATCGGGTTTGACACCCCTGTCTTAGGAAGACAGAACCTTATGTCTCCCTCTCTCTCTCTCTCTCTCTCTCTCTCTTTCTTTCTTTCTTTCTTTTCCCGCCGTCCTTCTCTCTCTCTTTCTACTTTCTCCTTTCTTTCTATGTCTTTCTTTCTGTGTCTTTCTTTCTTTCTTTCTTTCTTTCTTTTCCCTCCGTCCTTCCTTCTCTCTCCTTTTTTCTTTCTCCTTTCTTTGTCTTTCTTTCTTATTTTTCTTCCTTTTCCCGCCGCTCTTCCTTCTCTCTCTCTTTCTTTCTTTCTTTCTTTCTTTCTTTCTTTCTTTCTTTCTTTCTTTCTTATTTTTCTTCCTTTCTTATTTTTCTTCCTTTCTTTTCCCGCCGCCCTTCCTTCTCTCTCTCTTCTTTCTTCTTTCATTCTTTCACCTTTCTTTCTTTGTTTTTCTTTCTTTCCCCTCTTTCTGTCTTTGTTTTCTTCCTTCCTCCTTTCCTTCCTTCTTCTCTCCCTCCCTCCTGTTTTCTTCTTTTTTCTTTCTTTCTTTCTTTCTTTCTTTCTCTTTCTTTCTTTCTTTCTTTCTTTCTTTCTTTCTTTCTTTCTTTCTTTCTT